AAATACAAATGAATATTGAAAAAAATATATCTAATAATATAGTTCAACGAAGTTCATTTTGAATTTAAATAAATCCACGCTTGTCATCAATCTATCCTTATTTGATGATTAATTTAAATGGATACATTGTTTTTATGGATTAGTATTTCTACTTTTACCTGTACGACTTAATATATAATTACCAATTGTAAATTGCCAGTGAAATAAATGTAAATTACCTGTGAATATTGATATTAATTAAGAATATTTCATTTATTTCCGTATACATGTATTTTAACACATGTCGAATATTTCACGTACGAGTGAATAGATCTACTACATAATGAACGATAACTCGTACTATGAACGATAACTCGTGTTCGCCTACCTGTACATTGTAAGCGTTAACCGAATAAATACGTACATGTATTTTTTAGCCTGCGACAATATGTGCCGCTTGGCATCAGTATGTGCAGTGAGGTAAGATGTATATTGTCGACGACAACAATATTTATAGGAGGAAAATATATACATACCGCCACAAACGCTAATGTTGTCAAATGTACAGTGTGTATAGTAACAGATTATCAATTTACAACATGTTTGGTAATAGATTATAGATTATTTTACCTATCGAGTACCTGTTCCTCGGATGATTTTTTTTCTTTCAGAACTCTTAACCACATTTGTGAAGGTGTACAAGTAATTTTTTTATTCAAAAATAAGCATGAAATCTTATTATGATAGAATTAAGTATTATACTGTATTTATTTATTATTAAGTTCTTTTAATCTGTATTATATCAATCTTGTATGAATGATATATGAAGATAACGAACAGTAATCAAGCTCCAAAGTCCATTGAAACAATACATATCGAGAAGACAGAAAACAAGGGCCTATAAAAACATCAGAGGTTGGATATGATGCCTTGTTCACACCCCCTTCGATCCTTGATTCAACAAATGAAAAAAATCTGCAGACAATTCATTGCAAATATAATGGCCTTAAAAATTTATATGAAAACGTAAGTCAACTATCGACCAACCTATAGATTGTATTTGCCAAAAGCTCACTTTATCAATTAAAGAACCCTTTGGAGTTTAGCGACACTATTGATTTTGTATCATCAACTTATTTGCTAATAGCTTGCCTCGTTTTAGAAATTGTTCATCAGTAGAACACGCTCTTGCGTTTTGAATCAACTGGGAGACATAAAATTGAAGTAATTACCTTTATTATAAAGTTTTGCTGTTAATTTACCATTAATGTCTTTTTCCAATAAAATATCCAAATATGAAAGAAATGTGTCATACTCGTGGTATTTTCTATTTTGAGTTGAAAGGGACACATCGAATCAACGTAGGTATGAAAATGAATATTATAAATAGATGAAACGTTGTTGCTAGAACGAAATTGAAGGCTACAGCAAGAGACTTCTTTTTTTCGTGTCGAAGTTTCTGAATAAATTATGCTTCTTGTGAATACATAATACAAAAATACGTGTCAGCTAATAACGGGTCGCAATTAGAATCCATGGGAATTCCAACTGTTGTTGGAAGACTTTATCTACAATAACTATGGAGATATTCTCAATCAGCATCTCAAGCATTTTCTAATATCAAATTTGGAATACTTGTTTGAACAATCAGAGTGTCCAAATCAGAGACAATCAGAGAGTCCAAAATAAAATAAATATGCTATGACATTCAAAATTTATTTCGTTTTCCAATCGTCACTCGGGCACTGACAATTCATTTGTTGCTATAAAAAGAGTACTTGAAAAATAAACGCTTTCAATGACCAAGGAGACATCTAATTTCATTTTGCAGATATGGCTACTAAAAAATAATTGATTTCAAAACTTGTATTACTGGTTGGCAATGAAAGCTGTCAATTAGAAAAAAAAAAACATATCCTATCGATTGAATAGGTGAAATGTCTAGTGTAATAAAATACAAGGGTCAAATATGTTTTATTTTATAAAATACTTAAAAAATAAGTAACCGAGTAGCAACTTTTCTTATTGATACTCGCATGGTTATTCGAGTGTCTTCATGTTTCTTCATGTTTCAAGATAGTATAATATTGTATTAATCACGATATCTAGAATTCTAAAAACTAATACAAACACCATGATATAACAAAAAAAATGTATAGAGATAACCGACAGTATTCAAGTTCGAAAGTCCATTCAACAATACAAATTTTGAAGCAGAGCAAACACGGACCTCTTAAACATCAGAGGTGGGATCAGGTGCCATGGAGGAGTGAGCATCCCCTGCTGACCGGTCAAACCGCCGTGTGCTCCTTGTCATGATCGACAAATAACGGAAAAATCCGTCGAAAATTCAGTGTGTAAATAATGGCATAACAATTAGTATGAAACACGTCAGTCAGCATTTGACTTAATGATAAGTTGTATTGGCTGACAAGGTCATTGTATCGACCATAGAACTTACGAAATGATGACTTTAAACGAGACTGCTGATATTCTTGTTTCATCAACTTGTTTGTCAACAACTTACCTCGTTTTAGAAATTGTTCATACGTATAACATGCTCTTGCTTATCGAATCAACAGAGAAATTAAAACCCCATATGCAGGTGATAAGTTATTTTGCTACATAAAAAAGGGAAGTTGACGATTGAAAAGTCATCACGTTTATCATAAAGCTTGGTTTTTAGATAACCATTAACGCCTTTTTCTAGTAAAATATCCAAATATGAAACAGATGTGTTAGAATCTGTGGTGTCTTTTATTTCAAGCTCACTGGGATATATCGTACCGACATACGAATGGAAATAACCGTTAAACTAGGCGTGTCATTTGCAGCACTGAATTGTTTTGTAACATCTTCATAATAAGATGTTACACAACAATGTTTCTAACAAGAATATACATGTAGCGATCCATTGATTGTGTAGAATATTAAACCAAAGCTTTTGCAATCGACGAGTGATGTTGAAATTAGTGTCGAAAAATCTATTTATTGTATCGTTCTGCCTATGCAAAACTGCTAATGTTGACATTAAATGTCTCATACCAACGCAGTAAGGCCATAGTAACGCCAGTGAACACTTATTTTAACTCCGATACCAGATTTTCATTCTTAAGTCTGATTATAGTAGAATCAAGTATACTATCTTTGTAATTAGATGGAACGTTATGCTGAAACTGCATCAAGGAGGTTGATAGCAATACAATGTCAATATTCTACCCCGATATGTCTTTCCAATAATACAACATCCTTGAGCCCTATTTCAACATAACAATGCAAGACCACATACGGCTTGTCTGACAAGTGTATTCTTGCAAAGCGACAGCATCCAGTTCTTCCTCAGTTCTACACATTGAGAGTGCGTGGACCGATTTGTATACGCACTTTCTTAACAGAGAACTACATTCCTTAACTCTTCAACAACTGATCCAAGCTGCATACAGTTAGAGTGGGATGATATATCAATTTCCATGGCTGTCTTTTTGATACTCAATTGCGTCTATTTGGAAGAGTATTAATGACCTTGAACTTCCTTTTTATTCCTTCTATTTTATGATCCGTATACATTGTAAAAAGTGCAAATGAGATTTGAAGTAATATGTGCAAAGGTATATAAACAGGTTATGATGTGATTAGTGGCCCGTTAAAAAAATGACCCAAAACTAAATAATTTTGCTATCACAATATGACGGCAGTTTTTAGTGTTCTCCAGTGCAGCATCACCATGTATAAATCAAAATACATGTAGTTATTTCTCTTATTTCAATACAAATTTTAAAACGCTCTTCAAAACTATTTTTGGTTACCTGTTTATGATATTCCTTTTTGATCTTTTCATCTATTTGAAAGCTTTTTTAATTTTTGGACTATTAAATAGTATTTACAGCTTTAAATTCAAACATTGAGCGTTGCGTTTAGTACATTAAAAGCAAATAGGTTTAAATCTTTATAAAAGACTTTGTGTTGTTAATGTTACATGAGCTGTCTTCATAATGTCATCTGGTTTACCGACATCAACTCTAATTTTAGTATAGTATGTGTAAATTTGAGACGATATAAGTTTGTAAGGAACATTTCTCAGTCCATCAGTCTTCATCCTGGTTTTCCACGTGTTAAGTACTTCAACTCTAAAAAAGAAAAAAGAAAACAACTATAAACTGCAACAATTCAACAATAATATTTCTATTTTGTGATGCAAGTTAAAGTAAAATGAGATAACTATAAGTGATCCAAAATTTTTAAAAGGCAACTCTATTTTCCCTATTCATTAGTTAATTGATAATGAAAATACTCTTTTCATTGTAAAAGTCCAATCCAATTTACACATGAATGCCTATCTGCAGCAAGTTAGGTAGAAATTGGCTGAAGTTTCTCAAGGGATAGATGAGAACATGTAAAAGTTTTAACTTAACATTAACACAAATAGGCATTTATGCAGATTTTTGATTCTCTGTCTCATATGGGCTTAAGCCGAGAAAAAACTAAAGAAAGACAGTTAATTTTTAATACCTTTTAGCAGTGTTAGTTGACAATTATGACTAGTGCTGTGAGTTTTTTAAGTTACCTTTTCGGCCATCGTTCCCGCTTCCTGTGACGAATCATTTTGTATCTAGCGACAGATGCTGGAGGTCGTATTACACGGAATTTAAAATGAGTTATTCTGTAAATAAAATGTTTATATATATTTCCTCATCAGTTGTTGTTGTGAGATTTTTACATAAGATATTGCATTTTAATAGACTACTCTGCAGCAAGACTTCTTTTAGGAATGCAACAAAAATGATTAATGTAATACACGGTTATATAAAATATGCTTACTCTTGCTGTGAAGTGATTTTCATTTCCTTAAGTTTATAGCTGTTGTTAGAATTGCTAGTTGCTGGCAAAGCACTATTTATAAACGTGTTTTCATACATTATTTCGCTAGGTGGATTTTGCAGAGACGTAATATCCAATTTGTCAAAATGTATCACATTTTGGTAAATATTATTTTGTTCAATATATAAAAAACCACTTCTCACCTGTGGTACATATCGTCGTCTTCCCCTCCCCAGCCCAAGAACATGTTGGAATATCCGTTAACTTTACGGAAAATGTGTGGCCTAAATCCTAACACGCCACCCACTAACCAGCTGTACATCAACCTGTATCACAAATGTTGAAACATTTAATAATAATAATAATAATAATTTATTTAAAGAGGGTAACCCGATTACTGCAATGCACTAGTCTTCCTCGGGGCCCTATAAACATATTAATAATAATACAATCATGAAAACATTGTACACTAATTAAACAAGCATTCTGAGAGTATTGCATTAGCAATACTAGTCCCCTACCGGCAAGTGTAATCTGGTTCCCGTTAAGAATTGAAAATGCCATAATTTCGTCAAAAATTAATGAAGTGGGACGAAATGCAAACTTGATCTATAACTAATCAAGGTAAAGCCACATACCAAAAATCAGCTCAATATCTACATGCGTTTAGAAGAAAATTGCGGAAAACCCTTACAAATTGAAAAGGCCGTAATTCCGTCAAAAACCAATAAAGCGGAACGAAATGCAAACTTGATCTGTAACTCATCAAGATACACTCACATACCCAAAATCAGCTCAATATCTGCAAGCGTTTAAGAAAAAAGTGCGGAAAACCAAGTGGGACAGACTGCCAGACAGACAGAGGGACAGACAGACAGACAGAGGGACAGACAGACAGACGGACAGACAGACGGACGGACAGACTCAGAGGAAACCTATAGTCCCCTCCGGTTTCACCGGTAGGGGACTAATAATACAGCATGATGTAAAAATACAAGTACAATTAAAAGTTTAGGACATGGAATTAAGTTACTTAAACAGTGTTGCGGCAAGTTATAATAAATTTTTCCACATTTTTACGAAATGTGTGTACAATTGGTGAAAAAATTACAAAGGTAATTTGTTCCATAAATGAACACCGGAATAATGAAAAGAATTTTTAAATTGATTTGTTCGATATTTCGGTAGACGAAGGTCAAAGTTGGTTTCAGATCGTAAAACATAATTATTAGAAGAAATAAATTCAAAAGAGTCTCTTAAATAATCAGGTGCCATACCATGAAGTGTTTTGTACAGTAATACATATATATGAAAATAAATCAACTCATATATGGTCAACCATCCAAGTTTTTCAAATAATGGTAGTGAAGGGGCATCATAAGCCACATCTAATATAATCCGGACTGCCCTTTTTTGCAATTTAAAAACTCTATCTATGCCAGCACCTAGCGCATTACCCCAAATAGTTAGACAGTAATTTAAAGAAGGCAGAATGTATGCATTATAGAATAGTTTTCTTGAGTGTAATGGGAGAAATTTTTTAATTCTGCGTAAGGTATATAATTTATACGTCAAAGATTTACAAACTGAGTCAATATGGTAATTATAGCGCAATGAATGATCAATATGTACTCCCAAAAGTTTTTCAGATTCAACATTTTCAATTAATTTGTTTAAAGCATATAAATTTAATTCAGGAGAATTTATCTTTGATTTTCTATGTTGAGTTCCCATAAGCATACATTTTGTCCTATTGGTATTCAACACCATTTGATTTTTGGAACACCAATTTTCAATCTCACACAAATCAATGTTAAGGGCATTCTCAATACCTTCTACATTTTTATGATGTGTATGTAAGGTTGCATCATCAGCAAGCATATCAATATCTGTTCTATTTACATGTAAAGGGAGATCATTTATATACAATAAAAATAATAGGGGACCTAAGATAGATCCCTGGGGCACTCCTGCTGTGACAGGCAAGAAATCAGAAGAATATGTACCTATTTTTACACACTGAGACCTTGAGGTTAGATAAGAATGAAACCATTTAATAGCCATTTGGTCAAAGTGATATGATTGAAGTTTACTTATAAGGATATCATGATTAACCAAATCAAATGCCTTGCTAAAATCAAGGAAAGTTATGCCTACTAGATTTCCTTGGTCCATAGCTTGTAACCAATTATCTGTTAGTTTTGTTAGAGCCGTTTGACATGAATGAAATTCTCGAAATCCAGATTGTGATTTAAATAAAAGATCAAAGCTAGAGGTAAAGTTACGTATTTGATTGGCTATGTGTTTTTCAACTAATTTTGATAATGTTGGAAGAATGGATATGGGTCTGTAGTTCCCTGGATCTGCGTGGTCGCCATTTTTGAAAATAGGAGTGACTTTTGCTTGTTTTAAACGGGATGGAAATACACCATTAGTAATGCTAGCATTTATAAGATGTGTAATAGATTTGGATATAACATTTGCCGAAAGTTTTAGTAGACGAGGTCCAATAAAGTCAATGCCTGCTGACTTGTTCACATCAAGTGTATTCAACATATTAAATACTTCAAACTCACTTATTTGATTTATACTGAAAAAATTTTCTTTCCCTAGTTTAGTTTCTGTAAATTGATTTAATAATTCTGAATCAAAACTTTCTACTGATATATTTGCTTATAACTTACAGGATATTTCTGTAAAGTGATTGTTAAAGATATCAACAATATCCTGTAAATTTTCAAAATCCAAACCATTTTGTGTAATACGGTTAGGTGTAAAATTTTTGGAATCGGATGCCAAATGGTTTAAATAACTCCACATTTCTTTAGGACTTGAACTTTTTTCAATTGCTGATTTGTAATACTTTGATTTGGCTTGATCTATTAATTGTGTGACTTTATTTCTCCAAAATTTGCAATTTTCTGAATTCCTTTGTAGATGGTATGTATCACGTAAAAGTCTAGCATCATTTATTTCCTGTGTAAGCCATTTAGGTCGAATTTCAGTCTTGACTCTTTTAGTTTTTACTTTGGCATGTTTGTTAAGAATATCATTAATTCATAAAATTTATTCAATATTTCGTTTGGGTCTTTTAGTTCAAGAAGAGTGTTTTTGCATTTTCTAAATCTCTTAGGAACTTATTTTCATTGAATTTTTTTAAGATCTCGATATTGGATTTCAGTATGTTTTCCCTTACGTTGTATGCAGTTAGTTTTCCGTGTCAAACATACAGGGTAGTGGTCAGATATAGCAATAGAGGGCACACTGGTTTCACATATGTTTTCTGGTTTGGTTGTATAAAAATGATCAATTAAGGTACTTGAAGTACTTGTTATTATGTTCCCCAAACGAAGTTTGGGAACATATTGTTTTTACTCGGTTTCTTATTATTATTATTATTATTAAGGTCTTCCGTTTCAGACGGAAGACCTTATAGTGATTCTACTGTTTATTATTATTATTATTATTTTCCCGTTTTTTGTCCAAGCGATTTCTCAGAGATGGCTCGATGGATTTTCTTGAAACTTTTAGGGTTTATGAAAAATAAAATAAACTAAAAACATTTTTAAGGATTTTGCAAAATTCACTTCGGGTCGTCAGATATGTCCAATTTCCGTTTTTTCAAAAGAGATCATGTCCGGACGATATCTCAGAAACGGTAAAAGATTAAGACCTCAAACTATCAGGGATTATAGATCATGACAAGTACGTTTGCAGAATATGTTTAAATCCGTCAGCCGTCACTTTCGGTTGTCACAGGAAGTGAACAAAGAAATCAAAAATTTCAACTTTTCTTTTTTGGATTTAATCTTGCATGGCATTATTGTATCTGTTTCGCAGTTTTGAAATATGTTGGTCCCACCGGAAACAAAAACGTCAACTTCCGGTTATAAGCGAAAAACTACATAATTTGAGCATTTTACTTTCCCATAAATATCGCTTATAGATTAAGTGGTTGAAATGGTTTTTTAATATGTTATTTAGACTGCAAATGTCTAGAGTAACGTCAAATATCTTGGTAAAATTTACTTCCGGTCGCGTGTTTTACTGTCCGCAAAATAAGAATTTGTGCAAGTGAGATCTCAAAAACAGTAAGAGATTAAGACACCAAACTTATAGGAGTAATAGAACTTAAGGAGTAGGCAAAACCATTTGGGTTCAGAGCGTCAGCCGTCACTTCCGGTCGTCACAGGAAGTGATCAAAGAAATCGAAAATTTAAACTTTTCTCTTTTGAAATAAAACTTGCATCATATAATTGAATCACTTTCACAGTTTCTATATGTGTTGGTCTCACTGGAAACAAAAAACGACAACTTCCGGTTATAAGAGAAAACTATGTAATTGGGATTTTTATCTTTCCCAAAAGTATCGCTTATAGATAAAGTTTTTTGAAATGATTTTTATATATGTTATTGAGATTGCAATTGTCTAGTGTGACGTTAATCATCTTAGGAAAATGCACTTCCGGTCGCGTGTTTTTCTGTCCTCAAATTGAGATTTTGTTTACCTAATTGCTCAGAAACAGTACATTGCTGAAGTCTAAAACTTTCAGAACTGATAGTCAGTCCTCAGTTTATCTACATCATGTAAAAATCGTACGTTGCCGTCACTTCCGGTCGTGACAGGAAGCGATGCAGAAAAGTGAATTGTTACAGTTTTTTTCTTTTGGACAGAAATGTTTGGCTAATGCGAATGTTAGATAAACCATAACCATGCAATTTATTATCACCGGAAGTGCAAACCGAAAAACCGGAAGTTGTCTCAAACATGAGTAGTTTTTCATGGAAACTTTTAGGGAGGATCAGTTGTGAATAATTAAGGTGTAGAATGAACATTTTATTCGTTTGGAGCACTTTCGTTCATGACGAAGTACATAAAGAAAACAGGAAAGTAATTCCGTTTGTTTTTATTTGTATTTACATATCTTTGGAAGCCTTGAGATGACTTTTGTTAATTATTTAGAGTAATCTAATTGGCAAGATTGTGGGTTTTTTTTTCGAAGAAGTCAAGAAAACGGAAGACCTGTTATTGCCTAGGCAATAAGTATCTAGTTATGTTCCCCAAACGAAGTTGGGGAACATATTGTTTTTACTCTGTTTCTTATTATTATTATTATTTTTCTTCTTCTTCTTCTTCTTCCTGGGTACTTTTTTGTCCGCGAGTGATCTCGTCAACTACTCATCCGATTGAGGTGAAACCTTTTTAGGGTTAATAGGCATGTTATGTAGATTTGCGGAATCAAGGTCATTTTGCGCGCACGTGCATGCACGTGCGTGCGCGTGCAATGCGTAAAATGACTAATATACTTGATATAGCTGTAACTTT